AACCCCAAAACCCCAAAACCCCATAAGGTAGATTTTTGTCTTTGATAGATTCAAGGATTTTAAATGTGTGAATTAGACTAAATAATATTTATTGTAAATGAAATCCTAATAGAAACTCAAAATTGTTTTTGCCTTTGCTATTGGATATTTATATTTGCTTAAAGTCGCTTTTGGAGTGCTCACGTCAAATTCATTCAATTATTAGTCGTCATCGAAGTGTGGTCTGCCAACCTGCAATAGAGATGATCATTTCTCTCATTTGGATTTGCCCTTGAAGTATAAATCTCAAGGAGTTTTCTAAGTTGACGGGAAAATCTCAAAAATACACACCCTCGTGAGACAAAGTAAGAAGCAGATATATTTACTCTATATTTAGCGAGCTTTGATATGAAAACATTTACGTTTCAAGATGTTAATATAGACACAAGTACAAAGCCTACATTTGAAATATCATCAGTAATTTAATTGATATGACAGTAATTTAGCCCTATGGTTAATCGATAGAGCTTTACAATTCAACTGTTTATGGTTTCACATATAGTGATACATTGTCAGATTACGTGGATACTATTGTATATGATTAGGTGACAGATGAATTAAGGGTGATGAGAAAAAACAGCTAGATTGCGACTCCTAAATATGTGACAAAGTCGTTTTACAAGGTTGTGAAAAGGGATTCAAGGCTTATAGAAGACTTACAAAATGGAGTTGGGCTATTTTTAGACTATGAAGAAGTATCGACAGGATATTTCGACATCTATATGGCAGCAACTATTGCGAATAAAGATAGTAATTAAAAGATCAATCAACAACTCATTTAGATCCAAATGAATCAGATTTCTATGTTGCCAAGTTTTCAACTTAATACAATCTTACAGAGTGGTATAGACAGTCTGATTTCGCAGGTTTAAATGAAACAGTAATGGGAATAACCTACGACTAAGATAATGAAATTGCATTTTTAGCAGTAGAAGTTTGGTCGAATATCTATTTCAATGCATCAACATATGATACTCAAGTAAATACTGCTTTTACAAACTAGTCTAATTTGGCAATTATCGCCTATGATAAATTCTGTAATACCTTATTATTCAAATCTAATCTTAATTTCATAACTTCATACATTTCACTAGCAAGTTCATTACTTAATACTTTTTGATAATAGTTGGGAATAGAAGATTTGTGTAATTACTTGGTGATCCTGTTAAAAATGATTCCTTTGTTAAAATGTAAACTTACGGTAATAGTCTTTTTGTTCTCTTGGAACTAGAGGATAAACCTGCAGGAATAACTAAAAATAGTCATAATATATTCATCTACGAAATCTTCTAGGATTCAGGCAATGTAAAGAGTATTACCAAGTTAGGGTCACAGGGATTTTAAGATGAGGTATTAGATATGCAAGTAACATATAAAGGAATATTTGTTCTGGCAATAACAGTAAGATTTTTAAGTCTAATGATTATCTATTATGAAATAGGGAAATAATATATGCTAGGATTCATGTTCAACATATTGGAACAATGGAAATTAGTATTCCAAGAGTTTGTCTGTAATCTTTCTTAAGTATGGTTCATCAAGCCTTGAGATTTTAGATATCGATGTAAGGATTATCAATATTAGCATATTTATGTTTAGGCTAAATTAATATCAGTGCTTCAATAATCTCTTAAGTATATTCCCCAGAATCTACATATTGCTACAATGAAACCTCTAATAAATAGTGACACTGATTTTCAATACATATTCACTGCATAACGAGAAGAAAATTCTGGAATCTATTACACTGTGCTTGATAGTAATGCTAATGCATTTCAGAAGAGTACTGGCTGCACAGACTCTAACTGCAAGTTTTGCAGTTTAAAAAATAACGGCGTTTGTTTTCAATGTAAGGATCCTACAGCATACAGTCTAGAGAACTACTAATGCATTACTTTTGCAACAGTTCTTTAGAATAGCTATTTATATACTGATCCTGTCTCAAATATAAAGTATACCAAACCTTGCCATTATTCTTGCAAAACCTGCTCGACATAATCAAATTGTGATACTTGCAATTCAGGATTCACATATGACTCTGTCAATAAAAAATGCACTTGCACCTCTGCATCCTAATTCATGTCTAATGGAGTTTGCTAGTCTTAATGTAACCCAAGATAAAGTAAGGAAACTTAAGTATAATATAATTTAGATGCCATTTATAATGGGAAATGTGTAGCTTAATGCCCATCAAACTCACTGGGTATTCCTGATTTTAGCACTACTTATGATCCCTTTGATCGAACTACTCTAAGATAAAACTAAAAATCCTACAGTGAAAGCCTTGTTTTCACCTCAAGATTAGATGTTCCTCCTCTAAAATTGAATATATCAAACAAAATCTCAAGCTTGCCCTCTGATTTCACATTTAGTTTTTGGTTTATCAAGAAAGATGATGGGACAACTAATATGACAAAGAATTTTGATTTGATGTTAGCTTTTGGTAGACTTTATTTTTATGTAATATATGCTTCTCCTTCTACTCACTAGCTTCACACGCGCTTTATACTTGACTCAATCGGTACAAGTGATGATGTTCCAAATTCTATTAATATAGCGATTGATGTTTGGTGCAAAGTGAGTGTTAGTGTGAAATCTTAAATTGACAGTACTTATTTAAAGGATGTCTTTTACTATTATAATGGCAATCCAACAACTTAATCAACAACTGGACCTGATTTTTACTAAAATCCGTTCTAAAATTATGTGATTCTAGGTGCCCAAAGTATTCCTAGCTAAAGTCCTATATTTTCTGGTGCATTCAGAGAAATATTATTTGTCGGGCAGTATATGAGTCCTACTTATCAATAATAAAATGCTCTAAGATCATATAGAGGATACGGTGTAGATACCATGAATATACTTATGTACTACCCACTTGATAATGAAAGTCCAGACACAAATGTCTATGACTATATTATTAATGATCATTCTAGTTATGCTGTAGCTGGCCCAAGTTAGAACTTTGAGTACTAAAATGCTTTTAATAAGGTTTATAAACCATAATTTAAGGATATTTAAGATCTTAATTTACAAATTTGGGATGATGTCATTACTTGCAAAGGAATCTAAACCGATACTTCAGTCTTAGATAGAGCAGTAATGAGAGGTGATCACTTGATGAATAAGCTAAAAAATATTGATACTTTTATTGGAGGTGTTACAGGAGAAACAACTGATTAAATAATCTTATGTGAAAATGGCTGCGAGTGCCTTAACGGAATCAAAGGTAGATTTTAAGTCATTTCTGTTAGTGTAACAGGCATTGATTTGAATCAATGGACTTAAAATCCACCAAAGGATCTTGAGCAAGGAAAGCATTACGAAGTTTGCTATGCTAAAAATTCACTCACAGAATAGTATAGATTGCCAATGGGTTAAATCTACATTAGTAAGTTATCTTACAAGTACAAAGAATTTTATAGTGGTTCCAGTACAGTACATATATCCTTTTAATCGTGGAGTTTATAAAGGCAAATCAATGACGATCTCTGCAATGGGAGGAGATATTGCACCTTATGATATCATGTACTATACAGTCAATCCAAATTGTGAGTTTACAACTCCTGATGCTAAAAGTTTAACTTTTACAAGGCAACCCTAAGGTGCCTTTGATTCTCAAAGCTTGTAAGATAATGCAAAAATCTAAAATATCACATTCTAAATTAATGATTGAATATAGCTCTGAGACTGGAATTTACCAGATTTGCTGGTAATCAGCGATAGCCAAAGATACAGGCTAAAGTTATTATGTGCAACTGAATAATCATAACTACTGGATGAGTGTTGCTGATATCAAGTTCTCAGATAATAAAGCCCCTACTTCCCTTAAACTTAATGAGAAGTATATCTTATATGACCTGTCATCTAGTTACTTCTTACCTGGAGATATATTCAAATTTTACACAGCATCAACATTTGAAGATTGTTATATACCAAAGTAAAAGGGACTCTATATGAGCTTTTTTAACATTAGACCCTCAGGCATCCCTTACTTCAGCCCTGTATGGTTTGGGTCATCAGTTGGAATAAACTCACTCACAATTACTGATAATCTAGTACACCTTTGCTATCACTCTTACTCTGACTAAGCAGATACAACTGGCTATAGAATATCTAATCTAGATGAGAACTCTTATGAAGCAATAGTAGGCTCCATAAATGATAATGCTAACTTGCCTGAGATTACCAAGTTTTTCGTTAATTATGCTGGAACTGTTAATTCTACAGTCAATGCTAGTTTTTGGATGCATCCTTTGGCTAGCTTAACTAAAACTGGATACGCTTCAAATCAATTATACCCTTCAAGCGATTTGAATTCGAATTTAAAAGGAAAGATTGAAATCAGGAGAATGGCTGTAAATTAACAAGGAATTGTAATTGAAACTTAGGAAGTGCTCTGGCAGAAAAATGACCTCAAATCTGACCCTGTCTAGACAACCTAAGGACTAGTTTAGTGCCAAGCTTTCGGTTTATGCTCAATTAACATTACATATATGGTTCCAGGTGAGATCTATACAATGATCCTATACTCAAATTCTTTCTATTAAAAGCTTGCTGATGGGACAACAAACGCCTACTTATTTGGAAAATAGTCAGGAATTAATCCGATGGTTAAGCATCTATTCTTTGTGAGAGGATGGAGTCTACAGCCATTAAAACCAGCTATAGTTAGTTTTGATACTGGTAATCTAGAATTCAAAGGAACTGGGCTGCTATATCAGAACAAAACAAGAATCTAGGCTATATTGACAGATAGTGTAACAGAAGGTAACTTTACCACGAAAGCAATCAATATTACTTTTTATGTCACTAACAGTGTCCTTTGCTCAATTAAAAGACCACCTTATGGAACAGTACTATAAAAAGACATTTAAGATGATAAATTTCTTGTAAGAGATATGATTTACAATGACTGTAAATAAGGGTCGCTCTATGCGAATGTATATCTTTGGAGAGGAATAAAAAACCCACAAACTGGCCAATTCTCAAATTTATTTGTTTCTAATCACCTTGATTTTTATGTTGGAGACTTTGGATGTGATTCCTCTTGTCGAAGATGTAATGGAACTACAAGTTAAAGTTGCTTGCTATGTACTGAAAATTAAAAAAAATTCTTGAATAATGGGACATGCCTGGAAAGATGCCCATCCACTGCTCCATTCTTTACAACCTATATTATGATAGCTAGCAATGCTAGGTACTCAGGAAATTAGTGTGTATAGTAGTGCCCAGAGGGACATTTTCCCAACTATAATAAGTAGGATTAATATAATGGGTCGGTTCCTTGCGAATCCTGCTTTTCTGGATGCTAAGTTTGTACTCAGGATAAACCTAGTGAATGTCAAAAATGTATGCCAATAAGATATAATCTTAACGGGGCATGTTTGTTGGATTGCCCTGATGATGATCTTGCTTTGAGTTTGGTGCCATTGACAGAGAGAGCATTTGAGACAAACTATTCAAACTATACTTGCCAAAGAACTCAAACAGCTTTTGCTCAAAACATGACAAATGATATTGGAATAAAATTTGTTGAAATGGGGTACAGGTGGAGGATACCTAAAGACCAGATTATTTTCTTCAAAGTTTCAGTCAAATCCTCGTCCTAAATCTCTAAAGTTTACTTTAATTAACTTGAACCAATTCCCGAGCTTAATACTTAATGTAGCAAAACAGTAGCAGATACTACTTACTGGGTATGTGCTTAAGTAAAGAACAAATTCGTCTTTGATGATTTGACTACTATCAGTACTTCAGACTACTACCTAAGTTCCTAATATGCATACAAAAAGCTTAGAATGTCATCCTTCAACTACTTCCGCGACTCAGATGTGTTTAGAGTCTCAGCCAAGGTAACTAGTCAAGCCTTTGACGTTGATACGGATGTTATCGAATTTGCAGTTAATGATCCCCCAAAGACAAAATCACTATTTGTCTCCTCCTCAGAAAAGTACCACAACTATACAATGAGAACTGTATTTAATATAACGACAGTAGATTTGAATGTGTAAACAGGCTAGCAGGGATGGTATGACGACATAGATGATAGCTACCAGAAACTGTTCTTCATGCTTTTTATCGACAGTGGAGATCAGAGATATATGATTTACCCAACTACATACTAGCTTGACACTTTTATCATTAAAATGCCTTATATTAGCAACGAATACGAATTTAGACAGGTTGATATTTATGTGTTTGCTGAAGATGAATATGCAGCTACTGCCTATAAATATGCTTCCATTAATATTACTAACACTTATGATATGAATTAAAGATCGAAAATACTAAAAGATTTATTTGGATTCGTTCTTAATGGAACTCTTTTAAATAATCAGTATCATTAGTTGATGGTGTCTAACTTTATGGAGATTGCCTTTGAAGAACCAAGGCTACCTTTATACAGCGGTGCCTAGTGCCTTTCAGACTATCACTGCTTTGACAATGGTGAATGCTCTAGCATTATGAGTGGGTTCCCAGAATGTCTTTGTGATGATTAATTCGTGGGAGACTTTTGCCAGCTAAAAGTAGATGATTATATTATAGCGAAGAACCTCACCTCATAGCTCTATGACAGTCTAGATTTATACTTCGAAAATCATACATCAGTAGATCACTACAAAAATTACGATTTGGAATTCCTTGTCATGCTTATGAAAGGCACACTCAAGAATTATGAGACTATCACTTTTGAGTAGGTTTATAGAGGACTGAAGCTAATGACAAGTTGTATAAAGGCACACACTGAGGTGGTCTATACCTTCTCGAAGTATTTCTATGATGATTTTTATGAACTCATGAGTCGCATACTTGGGAAGATACACTATGACAAGATAAATCTCGAAACAGACTTTTCTAACAGCAATGAAGAGATACAAGACATACTGCTATAATTAGAACCACTTATGGATTTACATTCGTTTTGTCTGAATGAGTTCTCTCGCATTATGCTGCTTAAAATGAATAAGCAGAGCTTTTATCAGTATTCCACTTAGACTTCCTATCTGGAGATCAAATTAGTAAGAACGCTCTCTCAAGAAATACTTAACAGTTCAAGGAAAGGTGAACCAACTTACTTCAAAATGGATGAAACAAACACAAACAATGTTGAAATTAGAGGACCTGCTGGGTTTTTAGATGGAATACCCGATGTCAATGATGTCAGTGACTTGAGAATCAAAATGATTAAATACATAGCTAGTCCCTACATTC